ATTCCTATACGACTGCTTCACATGCAAGAATGTCCCAATCTGGGAAACGTGCCAGTAAAATGTAAAATTAAAGCTCTGTTTTGGAGGCTGATCCATGCAGATAAGAGTCTGTGGCTGTTAACTAATAACTACAAGAGGGGCAGTGATAAAGGCAGCATACTTGAGGACAGGAATTCACAGGTTCGTTCATACTTAACCCCATTTGGGCATTTTTTTCCCGCATTAGAGATTAACAGCTCAGATGCTCTTGTGTTTTCTACTTCCCTGATATGACAGGTTTTGTAAAGAAAACAGGAGAGGTTATGTGGCTCTGCTTGTGAAGCTGGGGATGCTGCTTGCGATTTGCAGCAGTCACGCTGGTGTCCTGGGCATTGTGCCTCATGCCACGACTGCCTTTGCTGTCCAAAGGATTTGACATTGTGTGTGAGCAGCACCTGGGTCTTCACAGCATCCCTCTCTCACCTAGGGATTGTCTTCTCTGACGTGCTGCCAGGGCTTTGCAGCGGGCTGCGTGCACGCTGACGTTGGGAGGATTGTCTGTCCTCACAGCACGTGGGAGGCCGGGTACCCCCTGGGAATACCTTCAGCAGTAACCAGGGAGCCTGCTCTGGTTATGCTCACGTGGGGCTTCTCCACATCATCCAAAATCTTCAGAGGATCTTCATGTTCAGGCGTTAGAACAACTATAAAAATTGAAAAAAAAAAAACAAAAAAACCCCACCCTGAAACAGTGGAGGGAGGGAAAAGTGCAGAATGTGAGGTAGATGCTTGGAGTTGTGGAAAACTAAAGGGGGAGGAGAAAGAGCAAGACAGAGAAACTAATGGGCAGTGAAATTAGGCGAAATTAAAAGCAGCTTTAAATACATCAGAAGCTAAAAGTGTCCTAAAAGCACAGACATCTACTGATGTCTGGAACTGGAGAAATATTAAATGTTTCTTTCCTGTAGCTGGTGGAAAAGCCAGATGATGGTACCAGTTACAGCAGCAGTGTAATGTTCTCTGTTGTAGCAGTAGCTTGGGAAATTATCAAACAGCAGCTACTACAGCAGTACCTTTTTAAGTTTGCTGGTAGAGGTAACTTGCATCCAGGGATTTTAAAAGGGCTGGTTGAGCAGCACTCTTGAGGCCATAAATGCTAATTTTAATATTTTTTTTAATGTATACATAATGAGTTAGATTGAAAAAAAATGTATGTTAGCCATAAACAAGTAAGATAATACCAAGTCTAATCCAGGCAAATGAGAATACTAGGCTACCTGCAGTCTGATGTTGGCTTCCAGTAAAATCATGCACTAGCTGATAGGGATTGGATTGGTCATGATTTAAGGCTGTGTTATTTCTAATAATCATTCTGTATGGATTTTTTTAAATTGGGTCTTTTCTAACATGGTGTGATTTTTCTGATGTTGCTATAATTTTTCTTGGTAAAGGTAAAAGTGTTGGTATGTCTTGTGTGTTTAGTGCACTGAAGTTGTGCCCCAGGTCATCGGAATAAGCATCTAGAATGATTCCATGTGTCACACACTGTTGGAGCGGGTCCAGAGGATGTCACAGAAATGATCAGAGGGCTGGAGCATGTCTCCTATGAGGGCAGGCTGAGAGAGTTGGGGGGGTTCAGCCTGGAGAAGAGAAGGCTCCGGGGAGCCCTTCGAGCGGCCTCCCAGGGCTTAAAGGGGGGGCAGGAGAGGTGGGGAGGGACTCTGGGTCAGGGGGTGGGGGTAGGACGAGGGGTAATGGCTCTAAACTGAAAGAGGGGAGATTTAGATGAGATGTAAGGCAGAAATTCTTTACTGTGGGGGTGGTGAGACACCAGAACAGGTTGCCCAGAGAGGTGGTAGATGCCTCATCCCTGGAAACATTCAAGGCCAGGTTGGACGAGGCTTTGAGCAACCTGATCTAGTTGAAGAAGCCCTTCCTCATTGCAGGGGTGTTGGACTAGATGACTTTTAAAGGTCCCTTCCAACCCAAACTATTGTATGAATAAATGAAAACCTGACTAAATGAAAGGTCACAGTCTGACAACAAAAGGAGAGCCGTTGGCTGATAGTGTATTTCTAGTAGTGTCAGCTGAGAATTGTTTTTTTGGCTTGATGCTGATCAAGAGGTGGGTGTCAGTCTCTTCTCCCGAGTAACAAGTGGTGGGACAAGAGGAAATGGCCTCAAGTTGCACCAGGGGAGGTTTAGATTGGAGATTAAGAAAAATTTCTTCACTGGAAGGGTTATCAGGCATTAGAAGAGGCTGCCCAGGGAAGCGGTTGAGTCACCAGCCCTGGAGGGATTTAAAAGATGTGGCATTTAGGGACTTGGTTTAGTGGTGGACTTGGCAGTGTTAGGGTTACAGTTGGACTTGATGATCTTAAAGGTCTTTTCCAGCCTAAATGATTCTATGATTCCAAGTTTGTCGGTGTCCTGGAAGAAAACACAAAGTTAATTTGAGTAGTGTTCGTGGGCAAGTCGCAAGAAATGAAAAGAGGCAAGTTATTAGTGGTGGAGTTGTGATCACTGGGCGAGACAACAAGGAGTCGTGTGGATGTCCTAAAAGCGGGCACCTCATCGCAGAGCAGGTCGGAGGAGGCTGCGCGGTGGCCTTGGGGGCTGTTGTGGGAGCTAGGGTGGCTCACCGAACACAAAACCCCACCTGGGCACGGTGGCCAGAAAATCAGCGTCGTACTTGGATGCACACATGGAAATCCTGAGCAAGGGGCAGGGAGGGTGATATCTCGGTGCAAGGCGCTACTCCCGTCAGCGCAGGGGTGCTGCAGCCGGTGCTGTGCAGGAATGTTGCTGATAAGTTGGAGTTCAGGGAGGACTGCGAGAGGGGAGGGCTGCAGAGTGTGCCCTACAGTAAAAGGACGAGCTCCGTGTGTAAAATAAACACTGAGTTTATTTATTTATTTTTTTTTTTTTCCTTGTTGGAGGTAGGCTGTGGTTTAACCTTTGCTGGAGGAAGCACGGCGGCCTGCCTTGCACGGGAGGTCTCTCTCGCTCCGTAACGGAGGAGTCTCCGTGAGGGACGAGTGGGAAAGGAAAAGCCATTGTCTCTTCAGAGACAGACGTCTGCAACTCTTCCTATTGAGGCCGTGGGGGTTGTGGGTGTTTTAACTGCGGGTGCCCCGCCTGCCAGGCTTCCAAGACAAGTGGGTTTTGTGACAGAGAGCTTCTGCCCCACAGCTACCACCCGCCTCTCCTGCTCCAGCACAGGCCCCACAGCTAGCCAGCTCTGGGGCAGCACCTCTCTCTCCTTGCTTTTTAGCATCTTCCCCCTCCCCAAGCTGCTGCTTTTTCCCTCCTGGGCTGCTTTACTGCGGATTTTGCAGGAAAGATTTTTTTTCCTTGTCCTCTGGGAAGGGCAGGTAGCCCCTGCCTGCAGTGCTGGTGGGTGCCTGGGGACAGGACTGGAGAGCTTCGCTCTTGCTCGAGAGCATGGGCCAGGGGCTCAGCCTGCCAAAATAATGAGCCCCTCCTTGCCCTTGGTATCGCCTTCCTTCTGACTGGCTCTGGTAATTCTGAAAGAAAATGTGGCTTCTTTTGGGCATCTTGTAAAGGCTTAAAAGTGCGTGTCTTTGCGTGTATCTAGTTGTACTTACGCTGGGGCCTTGTTTTCAGAGCACTATATGAATATTAACTAGTGCTTCCTTGATACAGGCTCGATAAAGGTCTTTCAGGCTGCACATTGGCATGTGAGGAGCTGGGCTGGAAAAATTAATCATTTGTCACCTGGTACAAAGAGGAGCCGTGGAGGCTGGGAGTAGCATTCCTCTCTGCTGTAAAGAGGGCACAAATGCAGACCAGAATTCCGTGGTGCTCGGTCCTGTACAAGCATGTGTGGAATAAGAAAATTCCCGTCTCAGGGGTTTGTGACCTCAGAACATGAATTTCGGGATGCCCAGAGCTGACTCGCATTGGGTCAGGCTCTTCCACCAGCTCCTCTGACAGAAGGGGTCTGATCGGCTGCTGGCACCCCTCCGTTGGGCGCTGCGCGGGCAGCAAACAGAAAGGGGGATCACAGGGGACTTTGGGGGAGCCGCTGTGAAGTCTATCCGATCAGGTATGGTGCCTGATAGCAGCCAATTTGTGTGCCTTGGAGGAAGCCTTAAGACCTGCAATGAAGAGCCGAGTGGCACTCTGCTTTATTCCTTGTCTCAAACTGGGATGCTCTGAAGCTTAGTCTCCCTTCCAAAAATAATATTAATTAAACCAATTCCAAATTACCATCACTTGCCTTATCAATATTTTCTCTTCAGCACCATCTCATGATAGGGGGAGGAGGGAGGTGTTACTTAGACATCATTAAGCGGTTCCTGGCTCTTGCGTTGAGCTGCAGGAGAAGCATTTTCAGTGCAGCAGCTTGCGTGCCAGAAGGGTGGTGGCGGCTCAGCTCCAGTCATTGCAAGGACCAGGAAGACCAAGACCATGACTTGTGCAATTTTGGTAGAACCTGGCAGGGCACTGTAGGCACTTACCTGTTTGTCACAGCTGTCAGGAGCACACAGAAGGCTCCGTCTGCAAGGGTGTAGTACGCCACGCTCTGTTCCCAGATGGACTGGCACGTTGTGTGTGTGAACAGATCCTGGTTCATGCCACGACCTGCATTTCTCTTTTCTTGTCATTCTGTCCCCAAAGACCTGCTCTGAGGTACTGGTGCTCTGTGTTTCTGTAACACATCCCACCCATCAGTCTTAAATTCCATTTACAACATCTTTAATGTGTGCTGTGAAGCATACTTCAGATTCCCCGTGCCTTAGGTTGCTCTGTGGTGTCTTAGGCTCTTCACTTGACCTGTGACTGAACTGCTTTTTCCTCCCCAGGGTGGGAAGGGGTTTCCACCTCCATACTCATATAGGTGCCCTGGCACGTGATGGTGGCTCTTGGTGCCAGGAGGGAGCCTGGTCTGCTGGCTGCGTCCTGGCCGTGGGGAGGAAGGCTGTGGTGCCTGGGGGAGGAAGGTTATGATTTCCTGGCTGCTCATCTTTCTCCTCCCTTCCTTCATTCTTTTTCAGAACATGAGTGAAAACTTGAAAGACTGTTTGATCCAGACCCAGGCTTCCTTAGGGGAGATGGTGACGATAAAAACAGAGGCCTGCTCTCCGCGCCGGGACCAGGAGTATGGACAGCCTTGGTATGCAGCTGCACTTCAGTCCAATGTACTCTAACTCCCTTCCCTCCATCTCCCCCGCAGCTTAAAGTTGGTTTGAGGGGATATACTTGAACTTCTCAAAGTTACTAAAACCCTCTTTTGTGAGGTCTGTCATGCAGTGTATGACAGGGGTGGTCACCTACTCATGTGATAGTTCCATGTCTGCTGTGTATGCTAGTTGGCATCAGGCCGTGCGGCGCTAGCACGCGTTGAGGGTGATGCCTTGCCTTTGAGTAGCATGTTTCCTGGGATGTAGCAGGGTATCTCTGCCTTTCTGCTGGTGGGAGTCTCCTCTGCCACTGTCCTGCCCAGTGTGGGACGTGCCAGATGTGCACCATGCGTGGAGGTGCTTCAGCTGAAGCCACTACATGCTGTAGTCTTTAGCCTTGAGCTACCTCAGGTACCAGCTTTTGGCAGGTGGGTTGGCTAGTTGAATTATTTCTCTGCTGTAGGTGTGAGGACTAAGAGAGTTGGTCAGACCCCATTGCCTCTCCCCTTCTCTGTGTGCCATCCCAATACCTTGTAGGTTAACGTCATCTTTCTGTTGTTCCCTCCTCAGCTCTGGAAGGCCTGACCCACAGTCCATGGAGGTGGAGCCCAAGAAACTGAAAGGGAAACGGGATTTGATCGTGACTAAGAGCTTTCAGCAAGTGGATTTCTGGTGTAAGTGTCTTTCGAGTGAGGGAAAAGAGATGCTGGCACTTACACAGACATCGGTGTTTCCTGGTCGGTGCCCTGCCAGTTTGGGGTGGGAAGCAGGGAAGAAAAAACCCGGGGACAAATTTGCGTGCTCCCCTGAAAAGACCAGCACTTCTGATAGGGAAGCTGTTGCACAAAATCAGCTCGTCCATCGTGGGGCTACGCAGCGGTAGGGAGGTTGGTGGGAAGAATGCTGGAAACATGAAAATGCACATGGGAAAACCCCAAGAGTCTGCAAAACCCAAAGACTTGAATTCAGAAACTGCAAAGGGAACATTGCGCAGATGACAGCTCTTTCCCTCCTTATTCTTGGGAAAGAAAACTGGTGCCAGTCACCTTGGCATACCTACAGAATACCAAACTGTGGGCCTGGGTCCCTCTCTGGCCACAGGGCAAGCATCTGGGGATGCTGTCTCTCTCCCAAGCGCAGAATGAAAGCTGTATGATGAGGGTATTTGTTTTCAGGGATGTTTGTTTTAGTTCCCCTCTGGGTTGTGGGGAATCAAACCTTTTGGCTTGAGGACGTTGCTGCTGACCCGGGATGTGCAAGGAGCCCCCACCGTCTGTCTCTGCCGGCGGTGGCGGGGCCTTTCCCTGTGTGGGTAGCCACCGGTGCCGGATCTGCGTGGGGCACCAGGGCTCGCCCAGGCACGGCGTTGGTCGGGCAGGCATGGGTTGGGGCAGAGCCCTTGTTGAGGGACATGGTGAAACAAGGGAGCAGCCGGTGAAGCGTCTGCGTGCGTGGAGGCCTGGGATTGGGGAGGGGGCTCAGGGGGGACGGGGAGCTGGGGCATGCTGGCCTGAGCGCTGCGCGTCCTCTGAGCTGCGTGAACCTGTACGGGCATCACGTCTGCCCAGCTTAACCCCTGCTCCCTTCGCACCCGCAGTCTGCGAGTCCTGCCAGGAGTACTTTGTGGATGAGTGCCCGAACCACGGTCCCCCGGTGTTCGTGTCTGACACCCCAGTGCCCGTTGGCATCCCTGACCGGGCAGCGCTGACCATCCCGCCTGGAATGGAGGTGGTGAAAGAGCCCAGCGGGGAAAACGACGTGCGCTGCATGAACGAGGTGATCCCCAAAGGTCACATCTTCGGGCCGTATGAGGGGCAGATCTCTAGCCAGGACAAGTCTGCAGGATTCTTCTCGTGGCTGGTGAGTGGTGTGTCTCCTCAACAAAGTGATGCCCCAGCCGTGCAGCTCAGAGCCTGGGGGACTTCGCAGGCCTGTCGAGCCAGACCTTAGCCAGCTTCCCCTTTCTCTGAAGATCTGCTGACCCACCTGGGCAGTAGGTGAACATCAACCTGCTGTAATTATTAGCAGCCTATAAGGCTATAGATAGATGAAAGGAGACCAGGTGCCGTGGCACCCGAGTTCATTTCACGGCTGTAGGGAGCAGAACTTGCTTCTCTTTTCCCTCTTGCCGTGTTCTTCCACCTCCACTCAACCTCTAGGGCTCCTCCAGTACCTTTCTCTGCTCTGATCATCATTTTGAGAATAGAGGAGGGATTGTGTCTAGACATTGCAGAGCTCTCTCATGAGCCTGCAGCACTCCTTCCCAGCCTGCTTGAGACCAGGTGGCCCAAGGGACCAGGAAAGAGGAGATCCGGTCTATCAGGAACTGATCTACATGCAGACTTTGGCACCAAAACCCATATTTTTTCCCCTAGTACTAGAGGCCTTGGTTACCCTATGAGACAGAGATGTCACTAGATCAACAGATATTAATTATTGTGAGAAATGAGATGTGGGACTTGAGTTATAGGTGGGAAAAAAATTGAGAGCTGCTGATACGAAATGCTGCTCACGCTTTTCTGTCTGTAAAATAAATGTGTGCCTCAGCCCTGTCCTGAAAGGGAAGTTAATCTTTTATATCTCAGGACTGTTAACAGTTTCATTATCTGCATCCATAGTTCTGTGTTACGGATAATTGTACATGGGAAAATGCCTCTTAGTCAGTTCAGAGTAGCCTACACACACGTATCCAGCCTGTAGTGCTAGGAGGGCAGAGATGCATGGCATAGTTTCATGTCCTGACTTAAGGCTGGAACCGAAGCAGTGATTTGGGAGTCATAGACCTTCTCCTGTCTGGACCAGCTAGTTGACATGCTGCATCTGTTCTCTCGTTCCACAGATCGTTGATAAGAACAACCGCTACAAATCCATCGATGGGACGGATGAAACCAAAGCAAACTGGATGAGGTGAGTCCAGTTCTCTTCTGCCTTCCCTTTTGGGGCTCTGTCTTCCAGAGAGAGGCCATCAAACACTCCTTGTTGTTTTGTGTGACAGAAAAACAAACGAAAATGCCACAACCCCTTCTGTAAAGGCTGTGCTTGTGCTCTTTCAGTATTTATTGTGATGAGAATCCTCTGGAGTCAGATTCAATGAAAGGGACTAAAACAAGGATGTGTGTATGGAGGATGGCTATTTTCTGGAATGAGGGCAAATGTTAAAAATGATCCTATTTATCCCCTTTTACAAATGCTGACAGGTCTCACTCCATTTTTTATTTTTCTTTACTTTATGTTCAGATATTTGCAAAATGCTTTGCATTATCCCCAAGGTAACCTTTGATTCTGTTTGGGTTTTTTTTGTCCTTGCCCACTCGACAGACATTGAAAGAGGTGCTTTTTTTGTTTTCTTTCTGGGCTTCCCTTGAAACAGTTGTCTGTGGTGGCTGGCTGGGGTGGTGTCAGCCTTACTGTGCTAGGAGAAACAAGGAGTGAGTTGCTGCAGCTCCGACCTGTAGAAACGACACGTGTGCTCTCACTCCCTCTGCCGGCACTGGGACTCAGCGGAGCAGAACCCAAATAGCAGCCAGTACTGAACCAGGGCTGGGGCTGGCTCTGATTTTGTTAACCGCAGCAGTGAGGGAACATGTTTAACCACGATGCAGTGCTTCAGGTGTTGGCATATATCTGCAAAATGTAGGTCACTCTTGCAGCCTCCTGAGGTGGAGGCAGTGCGTATGGCGAGTCACCAGAATGGGGCATTGCTGCACACCGAGGCCCGTCCCACATTCGGACCAATCCTGCTTTCAGGGGGTGGGTTTTGGAAGCGGTCGTATGAAATGCCTACTTGACGAGAGTAAAGCAGCGTAGGAACTAACAGGTCTGTTAGCCTGGATGTCTAGGATTTTCAGTTGTCACTCACTAAGGGTAGAGAGAGCATGAAGTACAGGCAGATGCAAGGCTGGCTTAGCTACTCAAATCTGGTTGCCCCACTTTTGCTCCGTTTGAGTCTTCACATGGATAGCAACTGTTCTGACACTTAGGTTCATGGAGTCAAGCAAAGGGTTTAATTTTTCTGTAAGAATTCCAGCTGTTACAGTTATTCACTCCTGGATGAGAGAAAGCGCTGGACCTGGGCTGAGGCTGGAGTTGCCGCTCCAAAAAAAAGCAGTGGTACAGTGGACAGATAGGTAGGGGGATGTATGTCTTGAAGCAAAGAATGAAGAGTTCAAAAATCAGCGTGAGATTTTTCTGCTTAGATCTGGATCTTTATGCGATCCGGATGACAGCGAAGCTGGAGGAAAAAGTCTTGGAAAGCAAAAATCCTATGATGAACTCTTCTTCCTACTGCCAAGAACATAAGCTTCATGTCTGGATTTAAATGGGCGCCACTCATGGTCCCAGCACCAAAGAACAGAATGTTCTTATCTAAACATGTATTTGCCATGGTTAAGTCTTGAGATGAGTGTGGTCTGGGTCATTCTGCACAGCCTTGAAGGGCAAGGAGGTGATGGGTTTGTGGAAGGGGGATGTTTGCATCTCTTCTGGGGAAGGGTGTATCAAAGGACCGGTGCAAGCTATACCAGTCTTACTGATCTTTCTGAGTTTACTCTTGAAAATGGCTTCTCATAGCAGCATTGTGTAGAACCTGACTGACAGTTCAAGAGGAGATAGTGGTCCTCAAAAAGCCTTGGTTTTGTTTGTTAGCAGATTTCGAGGAGAGGTGCACTCGATATCCTGTGCTAGGACATTACCTGTCCTGGAGGTTACCCGCAGAGTCTGTATTTCCAGGACGCTGTAGACAGCGCTCTTTTTGTTTTTCAGATGGTGCTCTTTGCCATCACTCACAGATGGAGTGCTTTGCAAAGCAGATCTACTCACCCTCTGGGTAGGTGGGTATGGCATGGGGAGGGCAGCTTGGGCTGACTCCTCTCTCTTCTTGTAGATCTGGCTATTGCTTTTGTTGTTTGACTACCGCATCCGAGTCCATTTTCATGTTCCCACCGAGGACAACGTGTACACTGCAGCACTTGGTGGTTTCATTTCAAGTGACTGTTTACCCAGGGCAGTGGACAGCAGGGAGGAAGGAGTGCGAAGCGTAGCAGGTGGCATGGCACTGGGAACATCCCATCGCCCTTTCCCTCTTCAGCCAGACAGTCGAGACAGACTCCTGATGCTGGGAGCATGTTCTCCTAAGCTGCATGCTGGCACAAGAGTAATGCATCCTTCATCTCTGCTCAGAGTAAAGCACTGGTGTTTCCAGTACTTTATGAAACTCCACGGCTTTGACTTCCAGGGATGTGTGCAAACCTCTTCCTCTGTTTTTATTTTTCTGGGGACTCTGGGTGACTGTTTACCATGGATTGCAGCAAACCTCGGGCAAAATTGATGCTTTCTCAGACATAAACCATAAACTGCTGCTGATGGGATTTCTTGGGGCTTCTGAAGGGTTGCATAGAACCAGCCATTGTACCTGGTTACTTCTGGGGAAGTTCTGTTGTTCAGTTATTTGAGATCTCTAAAAAAAAAACGGATCTGACTACAAAATTAAAGTAATTCAGAAAGTCCAGGAAACTTCCCTCTGTGTATGTGTCACTTGGCCCAGACTGAGGTGACGGATAGGAAGTACCAGCAAACTGGTGGTGGCAGACTGAATTATGAAGTGCCTCGTGTGGGGGGTTTCCAGGCTAGTTAGGAGATTTGTAGTCTCTATTCCTTCCTACACGTTAATACCTGAGTTCTCAGGCTTTTGGGACAGTTCAAATTCATCTTTTCCCTCAGCCCATGTGAAAAGGCTGGTGCAAGATTTCCTCACTTTTTTCTCCTTTGCCTTCCTCTCTGCCCCCTTTTCCCCTCCAAACATAGTAACAAAGAGGTCATGGGGAGCAAGACTGTTCTGTAAGTGTTCCTGTATCTCCTTATAATGGAGATATCCGCGATTTGATCTTCATACAATAATAGAGCTTAGAAGGGAGCTCTGGTCAGGTGCTCCAGCGGCCTACTCAAATCAGGACCAACTTAGATCAGTAGATCTTTTAAGTACTGAGCTGCTGTTTCAACTTTACAGGACCTTTTAAAAATAAAAATTTAAAAAAAGTAAGGCTTACTGCATCCGGCCGTGTGCTCAGGGAGAGTAAAAGCTACCAGCCTACGCACAAGCCATTTTGTTGAACTTAGTAAACTGGACTCTGTTACCTTGCAGCAAGTGGAGCAAATGTTCTTATCTGTTACAGACTGAAATTTATGCAAAGCAAAGGGGCCCTAAAGTACTGCAGGACTGTGATCCCTATAAAAAAAACCTACTTCAGAGCCCTGGGAAGTTATATGCTTGTTTCTTAGAGGCCAAGAAAAGTGGAGTTGGTTGATACCTTTGGGGGGTGATCATTAAGTGCCCACTGTTCATTTAGTTTACGTCACCTACATTTTTAAAGAAATAGCTGTACTGTCTTGCACTTTCAGATTGACTTGGGCTGAGGTGTGAATTCACAGCTTCACAGCTGGGGCTCCTCTGGAGCTTGCTAAAGCCCACACAGCATCCCCAGTGGGGTACTTCCAAATACCAGTGACTGCTCCTAGGGACATCCTGCATGGTAGAGGATGTACAGGAGGGGAAGAAGATCTCTCTGACAGTAATACTGTCTGCATTTTTTATAAGGACGAGGTTAATGTGCCTGCTGGGAACCTAACATTAATTGAATTCGTGATTAAAACTGGCCAGAGCTCATCACTCGTTGCGTGGTGAGTTAGCTCTTGGAATGCTTAAGTTATCTTAAATTGTTTTGACACAATTCACACTGGAGTGGAAACCCTGAAATCTGAATATCCAGGTCTACCACAGGTTGTCCTAAGTGCACTTGATGGAATACCCTACTTGGGAAGAGCAAAAAGGGCTCTAATTCCCCCTCCCCGGTGCAGCTTTGCTAGTGACAGCGGCCATGGGTTCAGCAGAGAAGAGGGGGTGCAGGTGACCTGACCCCGCCAGCAGCTTTGAGCAGCTCCTGGGAGACTTCTGTACTGCAAGCTCACCCTTACCCAGGGGCACTTTGCAAAATACTGTTATTCCTTCTCCCCAGAGGAGCTTGTCAGCAGAGGTTTGTTGCCACCACGTGGAGGCACTGATGATACTGTGCAGTCGTGGGTACCTGCAGAAAATATGCATGAAGCCCAGTTTTGCTGAATGCGATAAAAATCAAACTGTAAATGTTCCTTGGCTCAGTGTTCCACGTAGCCTTTTCCCTCCTTCCAGTGTTCAGCTGGGAGAACTCCTCTTTCCTTTTAAGTTGGGTTTTATTGCTTTTTTTGTTTTTTTTTTTTTTTCTCTTGAGGTCAGTGTAGCAAGTGCTTTGCTGGATCTCCATCATTTCATTAGCACCTTCCCTAAACGCTCCTATCCCTCCATAAATGAAGCTCCACCAAAATGTTATCTCAAGGATGCATTTACATTTGACCCAGTGAAATGTATCTATGCACTTAACTCCCAGCTCTCCCGGTACGTGGCCTGGATTGGAGCAGCATTTCCTACTGGTTTTCCAGCTTTAACCAAGGTTAACAGCTTCTGACACTTACCCTGATGGAGGGCAGCAGTGTCAGTGAGTTTCATTAAACAACAGCGTAACAGCGCTAAGGAGAAAGCAGAATGACGTTTGTCGAGGGTCACTCTGCCTTTCTGTGGGTTTTTCTTAGTCTGCAGCCCACGAGCATCTTTCACACGAGCACACCCCAAACCACCTCTCTTCTGCTGGGCCGTGGCAGCGCTGAGAGCCACGCAGCTCTGAGGAGGTGCCAGCAGGGCCATCAGAAACGTGGGGCAAATGGGAAAAACTCTGAGGCCTTTGCTCGTACCAATTTTTCAGGAAATATTTCGGGGTGGCTGAAGTCTGCCTGCAAGAGATAGGGCATTCAGCCAAGATGTTAAGTTTAAATGTAATTTTTTGAATGAGGAGGGTCTGAGCTATCCCCACCAGAGTTTA